CCCTTTGTTTATCACTCATATTTTGCAATATTTTTGTCAAATTAAACCTCTGAAAAGTATCTCATTGTGGTCCACTTATATTCATTTTACTTTATCTACCATACATCTATGTTTCTTTGGAAAGAACAAAAGCCAAAAGCAAAACAAACAAAAAACACAAAAGCTTCTTCATTGATCCCTGTTTCCAATACTGCCCCACCTCTTTTCTAAGCCTTTTCTTAATGTGGCGATCAGATGAATCATGCTGCAATCTAAATCATGCCATGCCAATGTCTCTAGTGTAAGGACTCTACAGGCCTGCAGGTTCACTAAAAGAAGCATCTAAGTGCTTTTAGGGGGTCCCCAAAGGCCTTGCACAACACAGCCTCTGCTTACCATCCCAGCTTAATTCTGTAAGATTCTTGCTCTTGCCTTTTGGTTACCAGCATACTGGACTTTCACTATCTAAATCACACTATTGTATTATCTACTTTGGGCCTTTGTGCTGGCTTTTTAAAAATTCTTTTTCCTGAGACTAACTTTTCTCCAGTTGAAAGACGTCCCTGAGCATCCTTTCTAGATACCTCATCCGTTTTAGTTTCTCCAGTATGCCATTAAATTGTCCCAAAGCATTTTCATTTACTTGTTCTGTTGTTTGTTTCTGTTATTTTTTTTTAATTTGTCTACATTGCCTAACTGTAAAGTCTATGAGAGCTTATTTTGGATCAGAAGCTTATCTTCACAATTTCTCATTGTTCTTAATACTTTGTATCTGGAGAGAGTGTATCTCATTACATATTGGCTTAACAAATGCCTAAATGATTGAATGTGACAAATGAGAAAAAAATGAAGCTCTATTTTTATGTTGTTGTGTGGATTTGAAATATTCTTTTCACCATATATTTTTAAATATATATTCTGTTGACATTCAATTCAAACAGCTAGCATATGACACAAAACCTTATAGATTGATATACAGATCATGTGGAAACACTGCAAAGATGGTTTGATTTGTGTGGGAGAAATATTCCAAATCAACCTAAATAAATATAATTTTACATATTTACTCTTCCATTTTAAATGGTCTTAAAAGTTTAGACTAAAAGCTCTAATTTCACTCCTTTGGGGGAGATAAAGTTTATTTCATAGCCCTAACAGAGTAACAAGAAGGTTATGCTCAGGAACATGGACTCTTGATAAACAGATGATGGAAAGAAGTCTCAGAAGTGGGCATGCTAATGGAACAGCAGCCTAATAACCTAATAGTCTGAAGATTGGAGTATGAGTTGTGACCTTGTCAATAACTAGCTAGAGGGTTCTGGGGCAATTCACTGGAATTTTTCCCAGCCCTTCTCTAACAGAGAGATAATGCCTACCCTGCTAATCTCTTTATGTTCATGGGATAATCTTATTAGTATTGCATGTGAAATGTTTTAAAAACTGTAGAGGAAGGACTCCATTAATGGGAAGTCCTACTATGTTAGTGATCAGCCTTGCAAAGTTGATAGCAATGGCCTGCTCACATTTCAGAAAGGTTGTGGAAGATGATCCAAAGCAACCATTTGTTTGAAATATTCATTATTCCAGATCATACGCCTCCACACACAGAGATGTACAGAATGCTAAGCAACGAATGAAGAAGGGATGAGGGCATCATTCCTAAGCTACTGTCCAGTGGTTATACCCTAGCTTTGCTTTCTTTTTCGTTTTATGTATGTATATCACATTTATGGCACTGGGACTCGAACCCAGGACCTTGCACTTCACATAGTGTGCTCTACCACCTGAGCTATGACTCCATCACCTAGCTATGCATTTTAAAGAACTCATATGTCAGTGTTAACAGTAGGCAAGAGCAAGGGGGAATGATTTTCGAGCTTCATTGTGGAAGGGTCCACTTTTTGCTACTTCCAGACAGATACAAGCAACTTCAGTATGATAGGAACTGACTCATCAGAGGTTGAAAGCACTGTACCCTTCTAGCTTCTCTCAACATGCCTCCTTCCTCCTCTTCTCACCCTTTCCCCTTTTCTTCCCCAATAGGAGAATGTGGAGACAAGAGAGAGGAGATCCTGAAGGGATGAAAAGAAGAGAACCATTTCAGTTCCTTTTATTTCCCCACTACAAGCTGTGCTGCTGAGTTAAAAATACATAATTTAGTTTCCAAATCTATTTCAACCCCTGCCTGGCCTACTGAGCAATCGCAAACCATCCAATTTCAATTCAAATCTTTGCTTTTAGCTTTATTTTAAATAGAACACAGCAAAGTTGTATAAACAGATAAAAAGTAAATGTTCCACAAAGAGCAGAAATAGGATTAAAGGAACCAGGAAGTCAATCCATATTTATAGTGTACTGGTCAAAATTTGAATTGTTTTCATCTTATTTTTAAAATGCCAAACTTTCCACAAAGTACAAAATGTCACAGAATGGATTAAACTTGTGATATCTAGAATTCTGTGCTAACAGCAAAGTTGCTTATTATTTCCGTGGTATACATTAACAATATCATGCAAACAGACAACACATTTTCTGCAGGTGATAATTGCCATCTGGTACATTGGGGATACTATGTATTTGCAGAGAATGACCCACATCTAAAACGTAAATCACATCTACCACCAGATATTTATGAGCAAATGTAAAAGCAAAATCCTAACATTGTGTTATATAGTAAAATTTTAATAATTAACCAACAGATAATCCTCCAATTAGGACAAATTCTACCCCCTCTCACAAAGCTTTAAAACTATCTCCAGGTGATTAATGCAGACAGATTGGCTGGCAATGACAAGTATGATGACTAATAATGCCCGTGAGACCTGCAGCAGTATTGTAGTTAACCAAAACCAGTAATGGCTTACACAGATTACTTTCACTCATTTTATTGTCTACAAGTGTTATAAGAGAGTACATGGCAAAAAGGACCCATTTCTAATAGATCCCTTCTTCCTTTCAAATTATAACTTCTTTTATAACCAACTAAGCAGGTATTATTTTAACTTTCAACATTTAATAATATCATATAGCGCCAGCTGGTACTTTCATTTTTTCATTTCAGGTACATCAATTCTCTGATGAATATTTAAACTACATGTGAGTTGATGCTTTTGTTAGTTTTTTTCTTTACCTGAAATGTCAAGTTTAAAACCTCTCTGAGCAGATAAATCCTCTTTCATTGATATAATATAGTCTCACATGGAATCATATCATCTCAAACATTCTCCACCAAACTATTTTTGATCTAAAATAATTTCCAAGTCACTTAGGAGAGATCATGCATTGACAAATGATTCACTTCTCTAATGAAGTCTCTTTTCAGATCTGCATGAAGGCAAAGGCAGTGTGGGCAACCCATCCCTGGATAGGGAATGTAAAAAGAGCCAGAAGAAATCTTCACCCTTCTCATCCATCTTTATCACTGTCAACACACAGATACTAAATTAATACTCTCACTGGCCTCCCAAAACTTTCTCAATAAAATCCAGAAAAAAATGACTTGGAATTCAGAAAACCAGATCCCAGGCTATCATTAATATGCTATGTGCCCCTGTCTAAATCCTTTCTTGTTGTCAGTGTCCTCATCTGTTAAATGAGAAAGTCACTAAACTTCAAAGAATCATTACTTCCATTCCATCCAACTATGCTAATGACTTTCTAATCACATCTAAAGCTGTCCTGTTCTCCAATCGTTTTCTTCCTCTATTCTCCCACCATCTCTCTCCTATACAGCCTCCTAGGAAGCATAAAAGTCCTCCATACTTCTAACGTTATGTGATACTCATCACTTCACATAGTATCTGATACAAGCCCAATCCAAGTGGTGGTTTTGTCTTTTAAATGTAAAATCCAACCTACGTTCACATCCTACCTCTCATTTACTAACTGTGAACATGAACCTTTTAATAAACTTTCCAAGCCTTGATTTCTTCATCTGTAATATGAGGATAGGATTATGGCTTTCTCTTGGGGTTGCTGGAAGAATTAAACAGAGTAATGCCTGCAAAATACCAGGCCTCTATGAAAACTAAATTGCTTAAATAAATACAATATTAGTCATTATTGTTTACTAATATTATTGCTACAAGAATCTAAGCTCTGTTGAGATCAAGACTACATCCTATTCAGATCATTTGCTGCAGAACAATTAGTGCACTGGAAAGAAGAAAGAATGTGTCATAAGATGACGTGGGCCAACCCCATGAGTGGGATCCCAGAAAGTCACTTCTCACTGAACTGGACTGAGAGGCTCTTTGAAGTGAAGGATTATATCTTAAGATTTCTATGAGCCTAATGCCTAGCACAAAGCTTGCCATGTAGGTTTCATTATATATGCAGATATGAAAAAAAGGAAAAGATCAACAGTACTGTTTATTAGGCCCTTTGTAAACATTTGCTAAAGGAAAAAATAAAGCTGAACACTTCTGACTCCAAAGCCTTAGGAGGGAAACAAATGCCACCTCCCCAAAGAAAGTAAAAAGAAGATAGGAAAGGTCTGTGTTCCCTGGCAGAGAAGGCAGCTTCTGCCCCAGATTCTTTTCCTAGGTAGAACACAGGCTGGAGCTTTGGCAGAGAAAAGGACACATAGAAAGAGAGGGGACTTCGCACCAGCTGCCTCAAGTGCAACCTACTCTGGACAAAGTGGCCAGGTTCAGGGAAACTATTCTCGGGGTGCAGGGCAGAGGAGCAGCAGAGCTGAGTTCCCATTTTTGACTCTTCCCAGCCACCCCCACCCCGCAGTCAGGTCCCAGGGAGGTAATTAGTGTGGGGGAGAGGCAAAGCTTCTGAGGGGGCAGGCAGATGGGAAAGTACTGGTGGGGGCGGCCTTCTTGTCATAGGTCTCACTAAGAGAAGAATGGGGGGGGAGGTTGAGGAAGAGAGAATGATGCCGGGGGAGAAAGAGAAAGATTGTTTTTCATTTTTGCACGTGAGACACATTTATTGATATTCCCACATACAGACTGACAGGCAGACCAGAGGGGGACAGACAGACACACTTGCGAGTTTGAAATAGTTCATACCCCCAAATCCAGGACGCAGCCTGTTGTCATAACCATCTAGCAAACTGTCCAGGATGCGGGTAAAATTTTCCGGGCACAATTTCTCCTCCTTTTGGTTCTGTCCTGGAGATTCGTTTAAACTGCAATAGCAAAAAGAAACAGGGGCGGAAAGGATTATTTTAAGAATGAATCTGAAAACAGGTGGAATCAGGTTTGCCTTCTAGGGAAAGAGTCACTTGCCCCAAGCTAAAGGAGGCAGAGCTGGGGGTTGGGACGTGGAAGACCGGAATAGGAAAAGCCCACTCCCGGGCAGCACACATCCCAGTACCCATATGTTTCTGCTTCTTGCACCCGACGCCCCTTGTCCTCTTCCCTGCCTACGCCGTCACAGAAACGCTTGACTTCAGTCCATGATATTACAGCGAAGACAGGAAGGTCTAGTTTGCTCAGGGAGGAGTGGGTGGCCACAGGGGTCCTGTATCTGGCTACTTGTCCCATCCCCATTTCCCTCAGGATCCCAGGGAACTCACCAAGCCGCCAGGCAAAGGAAGTGCAGGAGGGCGAAACTGACTCCTGAGCACAGTACGATCGCAGGCACCTTCTGGGCAGAAACCATCTTTGCAACATGCCATACTTTAAGCCTGTGCACGCTTCCAGGCTCTCAAGACGTCCTGGGCACGGTGCGAGGAGAGGGCAGAGTGGCTCCGCGGCGTGCGCACCCTCGCCCGCGCTCACTCGCCCGCGCTCCGCCAGCCCAGCCGCGGTGGGCGTGTGTGTGCACGCGGACCCGGGAGGCGGGACCTGCCTTTCTGCCCCCTCCTTCCCTCCTCGGCGTTCCGTGTGGATGTGGAGCTATGCAAACTGCTCCGCACCCTTTCGTGCCTGTACCATCAAGGTTCTGGGGTGAACTGGGGCGCGACTACGATGCAAGGCTAGGCAAGCAGATTCCAACCTGTAACTCCTCCAGGAACCAAAACCAGCGTTCTCAACCCCTCCTCCCCGTCAGTAACGCATGGGGTCGCCTACAGCAGCAGTGCGTGGCTTCCTCTTTGCTGTCCTGGCTCTGCTCCCTACCCTCTAGCCCGAATTTGAATTTAACCAATGAGGCGCCTATCTCACTGGTTGTGTGAGGACCTGTTTGTACCCACTGTCAAGGCTGGAGGTGGAGAAAGGGTGAATGATCGGGATTGCTGGGCCAGGGGATGGGAGGCAGAGATGAGAAGAGGGGATCAAGTCTAGGCAGACTGGCAGAAACCGCCCTTGGGACCCTCTCCTTTGGGTCCTAGGACGTCCGGTGGAGACCATGGCGGGGTAGGAGCTTGCGGGGGATGGGGGGAGGAAAGAAACAAGAGATTCCTCCAGATAACCGAGGTCACAACTCCCTGGGTGGACGCTTGCCAAACTGTTAGGAAGTGCGCTGGAGCCTTGCTCTGCAATCAAGGCCTTTGCCAAGCTCCAGCTTTACGGATAACAAATTCCCTCATTCAGCATCCCCAACAGGCACATGCATACCCTTGGCTTCCATCCTTTTCTGGATGGATCCCTTTCCATCTCAGTGGCCTGTGATCAAAATCACTTTCACTTCTTGGAGCTGTTCTGTGAGTGGAGCTGATTGGTTTTGCAGAGGTTGACAACTTTAGGAAGGAGGGAAGGGTGGTTGAGGAGAAGACGGAGGGAGAAAGAAAAAGACAAGAGACAGCAACAGAGAGACAGAAATGCATAAAAAGGAGGCCAGCAAAGTCTTAATTCATTTATGACTTGAAAGGGAAGATTAGGCACTCTACCTTTAGTGTTTTGTGAAATAAAGATAAATATTTCCAGTAGGCCTTTTGAAAACATTAACTTACTGGTTTTAACATGAGATATCTTTCATGTTAATACTGATGCACATGGAAATTCTCACATGATGGATGAAGGACACAAGTAGTTTACATAGTGTTAATTCCCTGGAACTGGACACCAACTATTATGTTCTGTTTAGAACTTAAATGAGTTGTTCAAATTTTGATGACTAGTAGACTGATATGATATGGAAATGTTATGTTAGAGTTTTGCATTTTTGTTTGTTTCAATCCCCTGATTTAGATTTTCTTCCAAAAAGGAAGCCAAGAGTGCCTAACTGTAAGAGCAGGAGCTATGTGCTCTAGTGATATTCTGTATGCTGAGGTGCTGTCTTCATGGGATTTATTACATTTCATCTCCTTCCATCTGTAACATTCTTCTCTCAGAGACTGTACTCTGAGTGCCTTGGCTGATTTTTGTTCATCTGCATTTTTCTTTTGTTACAGTGCATAGTATGTAGTGTGTCAGTAATATTTGAGCTAAATCAGTGATTCTTTTGCTCCCAGATCCATTTCATAAATTCAGATGAAATTTTGGAAAAATAACTGAAGTACTAATATATCCCACAAATATGCCATGAACACACTTGTTCCCACAGATTCTCCACTAAAACCTCACGATACATTATACCATTATGTAATACCTGTTATATTACTTCTCCAATCTTTTACTTTCCAAAACTGAAATTAATATTTTTCTTTACCATTTTTTTTGGTGGGACTGAGGTTTGAACTCAGGGCTTCCTGCTTGCTTGAACCACACCTCCAGTCCATTTTGCTCTGGATATTTTGGAGATGGGGGTCTCAGGAATAATCTGTCCTGACTGACCTCAAATTGCGATCCTTCCAAGTAGTGAGGATTGAAAGAATGAGTCATCTGCACCTGGCTTCCCTTACCATTTTTATTTAAAATATGCATATCAAAAATGGCCTTGGGAAAAAGAAGGTCCATATTGCTAAAGATAAGTATTTTTATTTTTTTAAATATGTGAAGCTTATCCCTTGAAATAAAGAGTATTCTTCCTGTCAGTGTAGATATTTCTAATTATATTTTCATTAACTGGTTTATAGTATTTAAGGTCATTTGAAGATAATACTAAAAGCAGTTTTGTCTCATTTTATTTTATTTCACAAACTTTCAGAAGTTATGTGAGCCAGGTGCCATGGTGCACAGAAGCTAGCCTGGGCTACATAGTGAGACTGTCTCAATAAACAAAACAAAAAAAGTTACATGTTGGAGTTTTCTGTCTAAATCTTTTAAAAATCCACACACATTGCCTGACAATATGAAGTTTCTTTAAAAATCCAGCATTCAAAAAACAATTAATATTCCTTAAGCTCAATAGATCTTCAAGGGATGGAGATATAATAGAGATCTTGCCTAGCATGTACAAAGTTTATATTAATTGTAAAATTAAATATGCTATCATTTCTGTATACACTGCTCTTCATGATGGCCCAGGATTGTGAGAAGTTTCATCTGGTTTTGTATAGCTGTGCAGAAATACAAAAGTGTTAAAATTATACTTATACCTTCTATAAGTCTATTTTGTTTTCTTTTGGTGGTACTGGGGTTTAAACTCAAGGTGTCATGCTTGAAGACCTCTACAATGTCAGCCATGCCCCCAAACCTTTTTGCTTTGGTTTTTTTTCAGATAGGGTCTCTCCTTTTTGTCCATGCTGACTTTTGAAGGAAATCCTCCTGCCTTTCAAGTAGCTGGGATTATAGGGAGAAACTACCACTCCAGGCTCGTCAATCTTGTTTACTATGTTTAGTAGAATTTGAATTGGGCCCAAGTACATATTTCCAAGTATCATTATGGTAAGCCAATCACATTTTATAAATTAAACACATAAGTTTATGGCTGCCTGATGGGATGCAAATAATACAGAACTTTTGCTCTTCTGCTAAAGTAGAATAGATACTTCAGTCTGCAACACCTGTTAACACAAGATCTGCTACCCACGTAGCTATATGCATTTTCCTGTGGAATCATTCTTAACTTTCATCAGATTTTCAAACACCATGGACAACTATGGTATGGACTAACCTTTTAATAAAAAAATGACACATATAACAGAACAGTCAACCAAACAGGTACACAAACATTCATTGCCAGATTCTATAGGCTATTAAGTATGTTGTGTTTCTCTCTGGTTTTTTGGTTTGTTTGATTTTTTTTTTTTTGCAGTACTTGGGGTTTGAACTCAGGGGCCTTGCACTTGCTAAGCAGTCACTCTACCACTTGAGCCACACTGCAAATAACTTTAGTTATTTTTCAGATATGGCTCACTTTTTGCCCAGGCCAGCCTTGGACCTTGATTCTCCCACTTACTCATCTCTCTAGCTAGGATCATAGGTATGCACCATCCAGCTTGTTGGTTGAGGTGGGGGGGGGTCTCCCTAACTTTTTGCCCAGGTTGGCCTCAAGCCACAATCCTCCTCACTTCTGCTTCCTGAGAAGTTGGGACTACAGGATTGAAGCACAACACCTGGCCCTTTATTTTGTTTTTTAAGACAGAGTCTCACTATGCATCCCAGGCTGGCCTTAGACTTGAGATTCTCCTACCTCACCCTCCTGAGCGCAAGAATTACAGGTACATGCCACTTTGCTCAGCTTGATCTTATGTAGCTCTTAATACATATGTGAGTGCTTAGCCCCATTCATTGTCAATTTATCAAATGCCCCACTTCCAGGCTACACAAAATTTTGAGTGTTAATAGAGTGAACAGTAATTTGAAAGGTTCAACCTGTTTCTCCCTCTTTATTTCTATTAATTCTCTCTGGTAACTGTTGAACCTATTTTAATCACTTCTGGAGAATAATGAGTGGTGTAAACTATCACTTTAAATTCTAAAGGCTTCAAGATGTAGACCCAGTTTGAAACATCTCTGTTCCAAACATATAGGAATTATTGACTATTCTCTGTTAATTCGTGTCTGTGCCTTATTTATTTAGAGTAGGTGAGGAGAATTGATTTGATACTCTCCACTTGTGCATTTCCTTCCTCATATTGAAACAAAGTTCTGCTGAAATATTGCTTCTGTGGCAGCCTATCTATCTTATTATTGTTGTCTAGTTACAGATTTTTATCTCCATTCTTTATTATATACATATATATGTATATATATATAGTGTACAACATGGTGTTTTGATACACATGTGTATACTGAAATTATTATTATAGTCACATAAATTTATATATATATATATATCACCTCACATAGTTACCCTTTTTTGTGTGTATGGTAACAGCACCTAAAATATACTCTGAGCAAATAGATATTCAGCATATAACACACTATTATTAACTATGGTTACCATGCTGAACATTAGATCTCTGAACTTATTCATCCTATATTAACTGTAAGTTTGTACATTTTAACCTATATCTTTCTGTTTCCTCCCCCATCCTTGGTAACTCCCACTCTACTCTTTATTTCTGTGTATTCAATTTTTAAAGATTCCACATTTAAGTAAGGTCATTTAGTATTTGTCTTTCTGTGTCTGACTTATTTTACTTAGTTAATGTCCTCTAAGTTCATCCATGTTTAGGAAATGACAGTATTGACCCTTGTTATTTGTAAGTGTATGGTTTCAAGGAGACCACCATTGTTGTAAAACTCCAAATGCTAGGATGCACAGGGCTCACTGCTCTACTGAAGATGCTTGGTTCATTTTTCCCATAACATCACCCAACTTCTGCTAGAAATATGTCACCTTTCAGCAAATCTAAGATTTTCACTTTATCTTTTAAATCAAGCACATTAACATTTACCTTGCTTTTTGGGTACCATTTACTTATTTGGAGGGAGATTTACACAAAATTAGGGCAGGGAAATACTCAACAAATCATACAAGGATTGAAACACTGATGACAATAAGGGACTGGTTGAGAGCTCAGTCAGCTGAGCTGTGTTATACATACTTGGGGGTTTAAAATTTTAGATTTGGAATTTCTTTTGATTGATTATTATTTTATTTTTACCACATTTGGTCAAAACTATGTGTAATAAATCCACACATAAGATGGGATCACTCTATTCTTATTTTATTGTATAAACATATAACACAATTTTTATACCTCAAAGAACACTTAGACTATTTCCATATCTTGGCTATTATGCATAATACTCAAGTAAGTGTGGAAGTGCAGATGTATA